TTGCAAACAATTGGCCACTGTCACTTAGTGATTAGAAAACTTGTTGCAAAAATCAACGCAGAAGAGGCGACCACTTTCATTATTTGTCTGTCCAAATGTGTGTTTTCTTTTAAAGATTGGCAAAAGTCAAAGAAATGATCACAGCAATAACAATCGACAAAGCACCTATAGCATATATTTATTGGTGATTATAATCGTGCATTTTGTATATACAATAATAATAAAGCTTTGATAAAATAGAGTGTTTTGCCTTTCAAAATCAGAAATATAAGAAATATTTCTAAACTACATGTCACAACTTTTTATATATTATATATTTTACAACTTCGTAACCAAGCCCAGAAAACATTAGGCAGTCTACAGATATTTATTTAAGGTTTATTTCGTCTTCACTTTATGTAGATTTTATCTGCTGGCTAAAACCAAAAGCTTTTGTTTCCGGTTGCGAAAAAAAAAACCCGAAAGAATGTTTTCGGAAATGTCCCAAGTTTGTCTCACAAAATTCCAGTTAAGAACGAGTTATAATAATTTGATCAAATCGAATTTGCATTAATAGACATAGATCTCGTTAAATTATGTCACACTCTTGACTTGCTTAAATATTTATGAAGCTCTGACGTAGAGTATGTTAACTTATACCACGAATTTTTGACTCTTTTAATAATTATTCCGTGTCAAGGCAGACATATAGAAAAAAAATCATATTGGGATTGTGGTTTTTTCACTATTTTCAACTCTGACGGAAGCAATTGCTGGGCAAAAGTTGTATCACCTGGATGGGCCACGAAATGAATTTTAAGTTTTACCTTTATGCTATGAATTTTGACAGTCGAACAACCAACAACCAACAACAGCCACTTCACTTTATTTCACCCTTTTCACTTTCCGAACGCGAATCAAATAGTTTAAAAACTGCAAAAAAAAATTCAAAATAAATTTAAAAAGTGAAAATTTGATTTTTGCTGATTTATGTTTTTAGGATTGGAACAGGAAATATCTACACTGGATAGATCCATCCTTCTATCGCCTCTCCATTTTTCCTTCCACCACTTTGAACGCGTCCAATTACCTCCACAGACTTTCCGTTAATGTTTCGAATTTCGAAAAATTCACGGCAGAAAAGCCAAAAACAAAAAACAGGCAAACAACATAAGAAAAACAAGAAAGAAAGGCTCAATTTTAAGAGTCGAAGCCTTGAATACCCTTAAAGTTTATAAATGGTAAACATAATTCCCTATTTTGGGCGGGTCTTAAAAATATTTGTGAATTAAATGTTTTGGTTGGAAGTAATGAACTAAGGTCAAAAGTACTAAATAAATTGAATAAATACTCTCTTTGAAAAGGGTATTACTGGAAAAAAGAAACAAGCTAAGAAAAACGGCTTACCAAAAAGTCAGAAGGCAGTATGCAGTAGACAGAAAATGTGAGTTCAGGAGAATGGGACAAAGCTGCAGCTGGAGAATGGAGACGGAGAATGGAGAATGGGGGAGTCGCTGCACCCGTCTCTTTCTCCGCCAGTATATCGGTCTCTTTCTTATGTGGGTGCAGTGTGGCATGCAATTGCACTCGCCCAAGTCTTGTGACTGGAATTAAACTGGAGAAAGACGAAGAAAAAACAGTCAAAAATTACACAGAAAGAAAAATGTACATTTTATATTTGGTAATCAATTTATAACATTTAGTTTATTATTTAAAAAAAAAAACAAATTATATATTATATGTTACATTATACAAATTTTATTCGCTTTTTAAAAAGATATGAACAGTATAAGTATGGTTGATTCGAGCTGTTTTTTTTCTGTGCAGAATCTGTTGCCCGAGTCGCGACCAGAATCGCTGATGTTGTAATTGTTGCAACTGGCAACTGTCGCATGTGTTGCATGTTGCCGGTTGCTCGTTGCTGCTAGCCAGTTGTTGCCGTTACTTCAGCGGTTTTTATTACCCGATTTCATATGCGGATCTCGTGTTTTTTTCCGCCCGGGCCCTCCTTCCCAATCTCTATTTTTTCTATTTTTATTTTCGAGGGTATGCAGAGATCGGTTTTATTTGGTTTTCTTTCTTTCCAACCAGTTGGCACATGAGTCACGGGACTTGATCGATTGATCGACTGAGCCACGCTTGTCAATGTCTATGGCAATGTTAATGGACTTGTCAACGACAGGAAAAGTGTCCGATGCAGCGAGAAAAGAGGGGAAAAGTGAGGAAAAGAGGGGAAAAGAGAGGAAAAGAGGGGAAAAGAAATGCCTCAGCTGGTTTATTTATTAGTGAATTCAACTTAGTAGCAGTTAAATGTCAACTGGCTGAAAACTTCCTTGAGCATCAATTCTGCACGAATACAAGAGCTTAGTCATGATGAAAAATACCATTTCTGGTTATAAATGAAAACTTTTTGATAGAATTGTCCTTAAATATTAAATTAAGCCAAATTAAGGCGAATTAAAATCATGATATATAGTGCTTTATTTATTACATATTCTTAAACGAGAATTTTGGTAAATTATAAAGAATTAAACTTAGAACCCTGAACCTCACCTGAAAAACGTTCTAAATATAAAAAAATGTTCAATGCTTAGATGCGATTTTTTTAATTTAATTAGCACTGACAAAGTGAAATTTGTATTTTCGTTTTGCAAAGCTAAAATAATTGTTTTTTTGTGCTTTAATCTAAAGATTAAAGAACTTTTACAAATTTGGTTAAATTTTAACATTTGAAACTGCGAAACTTGGTTCTAAAAACTTGATAAATGGTTTGTGTCCCAACTAAGTGTTAGTTCACCCTGTAAATGTACATTAAAAAGAGGGCGCCACAGTGCGTTGCCGGCTTATTTTTGAATTTGAGCCATTTAATTTTTATTTTCTAAGCCCTGGTTTTTTAGTGTTGCCAAACGGACAAATTCGAATTGCAATAATTGGCGCTTTGTTAGATTAGTATTGCTTATATGAAACGTCTGTTTTATTTTATTTGTTCAAACGTTTCCAGATTTTCAAGTTAATCTCGAAAATACATACATTTTCCCATGAGTACATTTTCATTTTTCTTTTCTCAATCAAAATCAAGATACGATCTCGATTGGAATGCTTTCAATATCAGGGCTTTATCGGACGGCCTGGATTTATTAATTTAATTGATCATCTCTCATAAATTTTGCCCCACTTTGCTGTTAATCGATTTTATCTTTCTTTCGCTATAATTAATTTTGCCTCAATTATTATTAATATTGCATTTCTGCTTTAGCTGTTGCGAAAAGGATTTTCGCGAACATGGCTATTATGCCACACACAAACTCAGGATACCAGTTGTATTTCCATTTCCAGTTTCATTTTAAATGTGCGTTCGATTTGCATTCGATGGATTTCCTCCTTTGATTGTGGATTTCTAATTTACAGTATCTTGCCCATTTTTTTGCACAGTAAAAAAATACTACTATAAGTGGTAATCGGTTCTATAAATTCATTTTAATATTTATTTAGTCTCACTTTGCAAACTTTCATTTATTAGACACAACCAAAAAGGTTTGAAAATCTTTTAACAGATTTTCTTATCTAATATTTCCTTTTAATTTTTTTTTTTTAGAAAAATCTTTAATGCCATTTTCTTGGGCCAATGGCAATCGCAATTTTGCTGCACTTTATCTCGCGACAGGGCACTCGTATCCGTAGGGCAGACATGCTACAAATAAGTGGATTCATGTCAACCCATTGGTCCTCGCCCCTGGGAAGACAATTGCGACGGGGCGTAAAAACGTGTCTGCAAAATCATAGCCATAAGAAACACAAGATCTCAGCCAGAAGAGAAAACTATCTTTTAAATGACAGCCCGAAAATGGCACAAAAAAAGAAAACTTTAGGGGCGGGGTGATATGGGGGAAATGCATTTGCTGCGCCTGAAGCAGGAAGTCGATGCTGCAGATCGACTCCGTCTCGAAATCCAGACTTCAGACTCCAAACATCGACATCGGCGACAACTGCGAAGAGTGCGTAATTGCTTTTTAAGCCTGATTTTTGAGGCACGCCCTGGTTGCCCGCCTCCCCCTTTTCCCCCTTTCCCCCCCTTTTCCCCTTTTAAAAAATAAATGCCTTACTATTAGCGTTAAAAGCTGAGCAGCACAACTATAAGATTACGGCGCCTTGGCGGAAGAGACATCGCCATGTCGTCGACCAAGTAAGTATCCCAAAGATACACATTTCGACAGACAACCGGCCTCCTCTATCATATAAAAATAATCTAGAGTGCAGGAACAAAGGGAGTTTTTCCGGAGGAAAAGCCATGCAAGAAAAGCACAAGGAAGGAGAAATCGGATGATGGAATTTTGTAGTGCGCTCAATATATATTAATATAATAGCTCAATGATTTTTTAAATTAAAACCTACCCAAACTAGTCCAAGTTCGATGGCTTTAAGATAACGAATCTAGAGTGTGTAATCAGCGTGAAAACTGAAAAACGAAAAAGCGATTTCGCGGCCTCAGCGATCGGCGAACAGATGATCGGCGCTAAAAGCCATTAGATAAGGCACTATTAGATGGCACATCTGGCCGACGATTAATCAACCAACTCCATCTTCCATCTCGTTGTGGCCATCGATTTGAGCAATGTTCGGACATTATCTTATGCAAAAGTTTCGCAGGCCTGTTAACTTGTCCCTTTTGGCGTGTGTTGTGTTTCCATTGCGTGTTTGTTTTAACGCAAATGTCGAATCTAATAACGCTTGGGGCCCATTACGGGTTTAGGCCAGAAATTGATCGGCGATGGCAGAAAGGTTCGGGGGCGGAGAGTCCAATTAGTTGCAAAGCCCTCATGTATGGCGAAAGATGATTAACATTTCTCCAGGCAAAGATTCGGAATTCCAGCTATTTTTTGATAGCCAACAGAGATATATTGGCCGACTGGATTTACTTGCTGGCCTGCAGCACCCAAAGATGGTGACCCCGATTTCATATTCCGGCTGGCTATAAATTTGGCCCAGATCTACGATCCCTTAAAATGCATTCTTAGAGTGTATGAATTTATAAACATTTTTATTAAAGTACAGTTTTCAATTGACAGTCAATTTTTCTAACAGGAACTCTTACCGTTCCCTAATATATATAACATAAATATCTGTGCAAATCATTAAAATCTTCCAAAAGACCCTTTCTGAAATTTTAAACAAATTTTCCGAAATATTTTTTTGAAATATTAACTGACCAGTTTTACTTGGAATCTGAAGAAGAAGTTTCCAGATTCCATTTCTTGGAGTTTGTAGCGTTTTTTTGCAGTCCTTTTCTTTTTTAGATCAAGTTGATTGGATTTACCATTTTTCAGTGGCACTTGCTCAACACTAACAATCTTCAGTGCCATTATTGGCAAGAAAGTGGGCTCAATAAAGGAAAAAACAATTTTGTTGGTCTGCGCCGGAACAAGATGGATTTTGAATAATGTTCTCTTCTTTTAAGAAGTGGAAGGAGTCAATACTCTCCAATGGCTACCTCTAGGTATTAATTATTGGAGAAAAATGGTTCTAAAGAATTTTTTTTTAAATTGTTTCGGAGTCACTTGTTTAACATTCTCAAGGGGCAACATAGTGGCCTTTCTTTTGACTGCAGTGGAACACGAGGGTTCTTGGATAATGGTTCCCTTTTCAAGGGTTTCCAAAATATTAATTGAAATATTAACTGACCAGTTACTTGGAATCTGAAGAACAAGTTTCCAGCGTTTTTTTGTAGTCCTTTTTTTTAAATCATTTTTCTCTGGCACTTGCTCAAAACTAACAATCTCCAGTGGCATTATTTGCAAGAAAGTGGGCTCAATAAAGGAAAAAACTATTTTTTTGGTCTGCGCCGGAACAAGATGGATTTTTAATAATGTTCTCTACTTTTAAGATGTCAATATTCTCCAAAGGCTACCTCTAGGTATTAATTATTGGAGAAAAGTGGTTCATATTCTCATTCCTTATGGGCAGACAGGTTTTACGTATTTAAGCCCAATGCCGCAAAATGCAATTTGAGATCATTGGAAATAATTATATTCTGAGAGATACTTCTTAAGCTCAAGATCTAGTTGGGCCTTGGGAAATCTGTGTGTACGTCTGAAACGAACATTACTGAAATTTGTAACCTCTTTTTCCGAAATATTTTGACCAGCTACTCTGAATCTGAGGAAGAAAGTTCCTGTTTCGGTTTCTTGGCGTTCTTAGCTTTTTCGTAGCCCTCGTTGGCTTTTCTTTTTTCAGCTTTCAGGGGCAACATAATGGGCTTTCTTTTGACTGCACTGGAGCACGAGGGTTCTTGGATAATGGTTCCCTTTTCCAGGGTTTCCACAGAGTCCATGCTCTGTATGGATGCACTCGAATCCGATTTCTGTTCATCTTCCTGGCTAGGTGGTTCCAATTCTGTGGTGGATGTACTCGGATCAGATTTCTGTTCATCTTCCTCGCTAGATGTTTCACATTCAATGGATATGTCACTATTTGAAATATCCAAATGTTCCATATTCCTATTCCTCATGGGGAGATAATCACAAGAATCACTATTCATTAATAATCCCGAAGATTCATTATTAAACATTTGCAGATGGTTCATATTTCTCCTCTTAGTGGATATATGTTCCACAGATCCAAAACTTGGGACGATAACATCTTTCTCGGTAATCGAGAAATTTCCTCTGAATCTAACTACTTCTTCTTCGAAAAGCGCTTCCTTAAGCGAGTAGACCACAGATCTGCTGACCAATTCATTGTCATCTATTTCTTTTTTTGCCTGGAATCGATAAGTAATTAAAATATCAATAAAATATATAAAGAAAGTATAACCTACCTGAAAGTAGCCGACTAAGTCCTGAAGGGGAACTGGTTTTCCAAAATCAGACAGCGCCTCACAGACCTCATTAACCGTAATATTTAAAGCATTCTCGATAGCTATATTGGAGATCGAGCTACTTTCTCTTTCTAGTGCAGTGTCCGAGATACTTTCCCCCTGCACTGAAGTGTCCGAGGGATTTTTTTCCTCCAGTGAAGTGTCCGAGGGATTTTTTTCCTCCAGTGAAGTGTCCGAGGGATTTTTTTCCTCCAGTGAAGTGTCCGAGGGATTTTTTTCCTCCAGTGAAGTATCCGAGGAAGCATTGCCTGAGCCGGAAGTGTCCGACATTTTTCTAAAACATTAATAAAAGTCTGGTTTTTATATGAGCTATAGTAGGAACGAGATTTACCGGGACAAAAATAACAGATTACGATTTTCAATGTTTTTGTTTAGTTTACATAGATCATATAAAGATATTGTCTAAGAGGAGGCAATTTAATCTTAGGATGTCTAATACATATTGAACTTACATTATATGGCTTCATTTCCAAAATTTCCAGTGTCTAGCAAAAAGTGGTCACAAACTTATAAATCCTATATATTGATCAAACTGTTCCCATTTCGATCTAGACTATTCAAATTGCTTGAAAAAAGGTCACTTATATCCTTCTTGAAAACCTCTTTCTACAGTTCCTATCTACTTACTCAGATGCATGTCTTAAAACTCATTTCTACTGTCCCTCACTATTTCCGTACAACCTTACTTTGTCTTGCTGTCTCGTTTTTTCTCAGGTCCTAGACAAGTGCCGATATCAACTTAATTAAATAACTGTAACCGTCCCATTGCCATCTCATTCCCACTCCTGCATCCCTCTTAGTTCCTGAAGCTCATTCACCTGTTCAGCTCCTTTAAAGCGACTAACTTCCTACCGCTTCACGTGCTGACCCCTTCGAGGCGGCGCAGTAGCAGCGCAGTTGCAGCGCAGCTGCTGGGAAGCGGTAGCCGCGAGCGGCAGCCAAAACAGTTGTACAACATTTACCGGTTTTGTGGGGCACGCAGCCAAACAATAAGCTCAACAGCTGATCGAAAGCGATCTCCTCTGGGGTTCCATTCATATTTGTGGAAACCAGCTCTCTCGCTCTCTCGCTCTCCGCACCGCTAGCTAGCTCTCTCTCTCTCTCTCTTCTGTCCGCTTGTAATGCCGTGGCTTAAAAGTTTACGACGGCGCAGGCGCGCCGCTCAGACCGTTCATGGCGTTCGCTGCGACCGCTTGGCACACGTCGCGTTTTTAACCGCCAGCGCGACTTAAACCGCTAACCGCCCAAGTGCGTTTTTCGACCCCGCCTTAACCCCTGTAAGCCCACCGAATTTGCGTGTGCTTGTTTTTGTTTAGGAAGTGTGGTGTTAAATTAAATAGAACAGATGAACACACAAGTCCTGTGAGCTGTGATTCTTCGGCAGCGTTTTCAATTTCCTTCACAATTTACTTCATTTTTTTAGCTTTTTTGTTTAAGTGCTCATTTCCGCATTTAGAAAAAAAGGTGCTTGAAATAATTACTACTCGAAACTCTAACAAAATGCAAATTAATTACAAATAATCGAATGAAATAATTTTGTTATTTGGATTTGTGTGTGTGTTTTTGTATTGTGGTTCCGCGCTAATAGTTTCCTGCATAACAACAACAACAACAACAGCAGCAGCAGCTACAGCGACTACAATAATAATAATGAAAACTACAACTTTTGGCCAAACTGGCCAAATAAAATTGTTGCGAAAGTGTTTTTTTTTTTTCGTATTTGTGTTTTGCGTTGCATGTGGCAGCAAAGGCAGCTGCTGCAAGTCAAGTTAACTTGTTGCCGTTGCTGAGCTACCTAACAAAATAAATTTTATTTTTATGACTTTTATGCGAAGCCGATAAGATGACAGGCATAACAACAATAACACTAAGCAGCAGCGGCTGCCACAAAAACAATATTGGCCAAAACTGCAACACAATAGCCTCAAGTTGGGAATTTTATGCTCAGAAGCGAATGGATGCTGGATTGCTCTTCCCACTTAACTTTATTTAAAGGATTTTTGAGTTTATTTTAAGATATAATACTCCGCTATGGATTGTGATACCAAATTGTCCTTTCCTTTTTCTTTCTCAGTATCTATCGAAATTATTTAAAATGCATGGTCTAAAGCTTTATTTTAAATACTTAAGTATTTTTATTTAAACTAGTTTTCTTCAATTCGAAATATTTTTAAATTCATTTCTAATAAACATATTTTTTAGCTCTAAGATCCTTAGCTGTTATTAAATTTAAATATTTTTGAATATTAACCAATTCAAATGCCTCACCATATTTATTAGAGTATTTTCTATAAGCAAGTTGGAGTGCGTGACCCCAGCTAAAAAAGTCCGTCTCAGTGTGAGTGTCTTTGTATCTTTGTATCTGTGTATCTCGTATCTTTGGCCAGACTTGCTCTTGGACAAAAAAAAAAAAAAACAACTTTTGAGCCTGATCCCAGTTAAATCCACTTGAATGCCCGAAAGTGAAATTTCACTTGGCAGTTGTCGTCGCTGCGGTTGCTGTTTTGCAGCTGCCTTTTCAATTTAATCGAACCCTTGTTATGGCGGCGGTATTAGTGCCCAACAAAAAGTGATTATTATTTATTAAAATTTTACCAAAACGACAGAAGAGACCCAAATAGACCAAATATAAAGATGGCAAGGAGCAAAGTAAGCAGCAAAGTCTGCAGGAGCAGCAGATTAAAATCATCATCATCATCAGAAAAGTCTGCAGATACAATAAACCAAATCAGCAGAGGATCAATACTAAAGCACTTGGTTATTTGCGGCTGCCTGGTAATAATATCCATGGCCTCTGTAACCATGGCCAAACCACCGGATCAGGAAGCCATCCATCACAAAAATGGTAAGTTCAAAATTGTGTATCTGTGACTTAATTAGCTAGCTGTGAAAGTGAAACTGAAGCTGAAACTAAAACTTTTCGCTGCCGCGAGAATTATGGGGCTTAAAGTCATCAACCGGCGGCCAATGGCCAAAGACTCTCGACTTGGGATCAAGTTGAGCAGTTGAGCAGCTGCTGATGGCTTTGATTTGTGGCAGCAGCGCTTTCACTTTGCCAGCTTTTGTTTTGCTTTTTGTAGAAACGGAGCTGCAGCACGGGGGATTACACGAATTTAGCTAAATTGAGAATATATCTCTACCTCTGTCAATGGCCAACCATTAATTTTTCAGGTCTTTAAAATCTGATAGTATGTAAAGCTATATCATGTTTCAATTTTCGAAGGTTAATTCCATCAGCGGATTGGAAAATCACACACGTGCCATTTCGCTAAAAGCGATTACAAAAGTTGTCATTGATTTCGGTTTCAGGTTAATTAAAAGGCGAAAAACTCAGCTCTAGTTGCTAATTTGTCGGTAGTTGAGTTGGCCACATAGTAAAAGGGCGAAAAGAAACAAATTAACCCACAGAAACGAAGAAGTAAAACAACAAATAGAAACTGGGAGTAAAGGGGAGTGTGGGGATATACCACCAAATAAGAAAACAAAGCCAAATACATTTTCCCAGAAATCTCGCGCTCTTACGACATCTTTAGCAATTACTGGAAGAGTTGTATCTCTGCAGACTGTAGATTGAAAATCGGGGAAAGGTGGAAAGGGGGAAGGGGAAAAGGGGACAAGAGACCCACAGACCGCATTTTCCACTTGCTTCCGTATGCTGGGCTAATTTTCCTTTGTTGTATGGCAAGACAACTCCATCTGGCCGTCGTTTCATCTGCCTTTTTTCCAACCACTTTTCCCCCCCCAAGTCTCTTTCGTCTGTGTGTCATTATGTCATTGCAGCAGTACCATTTACCATTTACCAATTACCAGGCACCTTTTCTCTCCACTCGTAACTGAAGACATTTCCCCTGTGACATTTTCATGTCCAAAAAGACAATGCACAACAATGATAATAGAAGGGTCATGAAAACGTGGAGCTTGAAAACAAATTCCAAATATTTTGATACATATTGAGAAATATACTTAAAATAAAATAAAATATTATGATAGCCAAAAAAAAATGATTGGTATTCGTTTGTATCAACTAAATATATATAATCCCATAAAAACTACATTTTAACGAATATTAAATATGACTGGTTAGCAACTAATTTAAATGCTAATAACAACCAATTACTATCTTACTACTTGCCTAGTATTTATGGAAATGCAAGATACTTGGTATAAGGTATTTAACCTGTAGCTCAAATGTTACCTAAAATACTTGAAACAATCTTTTGTGGCTGCAGATGCGTCTCAATATTTAGCAACTCATTGAGCCAAAGTCAAAAACCACAGATTGCATCACGACCGCAGCTACCTTGTGACAATTTCCCAGGCCATGGGTGTATGTATATGGCTTGTCAAAGAGATATATAAGCGGTCGGATCTGAACAATCGGCGCACTGATGATGACGTCCCCAATTTGGGCCACAGCTCGAGACTCTCAACCATATAATAATCACATCGAATCCGAGAAAACGAGGCGGTAAAATGCAACCGGAGCAAACAATTGCCATTCATTTGCACAATGAATGAAATTTAATGAGCGGGGCTCGCATAATACAAATAATAAGTACGCGAAAATATAAGTGAAAAGACCCCTCGAAAAAAAAAATCAGCTGCAAACCGAAGCTAAGATACCCTTGATTTAAATGTCCGATTTTTATGTAAATCAAAATATCACCGGGTAGCTACCAATTTACTGAGTTTGTGGTAAAATGTATTTTCTCGCTTAAATTTCCACTTACCTTTTTATCCTGTTATTCAAGACAGAAAAAAAAATGTTGAAAAATAAATTCACTTTTTTACTATTCGACTCGTTTTGGTTCGGATATAATGTGTTACTGGTATGAAAAGCCGATATGTTATGAGACTACCTAGAACGTTGCCTTGTCCTTGTTAAAGTTTGTTTGAACGTAAATTTCTAAGCCTACTTTGTTTACATTTTTTTAACTTCAGGCAAAAATAGATAGTTATTAATAAATTAATAACCCTTGACAAAAAATTAAAAATAAAGATATCTTGGCCATAACGTAATAACAAGCGGTAGAAAAGAGCCGACAAACAAAAAGTTAACACTATATCCATAAAATTGATGTGGCATGCAACTTTATATTGAAGTACGAGTATGCGTACACAGAAAAAAAACTTCATTGATGATAGATTACATACTTTACTGTTTTAATATTAAATAATAAATTGTTAACTTAAAAAAATGTCACTCAATTAGTGGGATAATATTATGGAATATTTATAAAGTACAAGGTTAATCTTCTAATATAAATTTTCCTCTCATGATGAGTGCACAAAACTCGATTTATTATTTGTACAATTTACGAGCATCGATCGCCGAGGGAAACAGAAGTTTAAAGATCTTCATTTACCTTTTTTTCTTCATTTTCTGGAGCTACTGAAATATGCTACAAGTTGCGTTTTTCGCTTCTTGTTTTTTTATTTTCAACCGGGCCGTGGGCGTTTCTGTGGGCGTTTGTGGCTGTTGTTGCGGTTGACAGAAGATCGGAGGGGAAATCAGGGGGTTTCATATGGCTCAATGTGATCAGTGCAAATTTGAAAATTGATTGGGTTTTCAATTGAAAAAATGAAGCAAGCGATTTTGTGGGAAATTTATTTGGTAAAAAATACATAAAAAATTGTAACTCAATTACTGTATAAAAAAAGAAGATCTATAACACCTTTCCAAATTTTCAAAGAATGGGTTTGCAGAAAAGTGTCAAAAAATTGCACTTCTAAGCCCATAACTTTTCTTACAGACACCCGATTTCAAAGTGGCATACTTCAAAATGATCGTGGTTTGATTCCCTAAAAATCTGTGTTTTTAGTTAAATTTTTTTTTTTTTGGTCGATTATTCGTCATTTTCATGATGTTACCCCTTTCCAAATTTTCAAAAAATGGGTTTGCTGAAAAGGGTCCAAAAACTGCATTTCTAAGCCCATAACTTTTCTTACAGACATCCGATTTCAAAGTGGCGTACTTCAAAATGGTCGTGGTTTGATTCCCTAAAAATCTGTGTTTTTAGTTAAATTTTTTTTTTGGGTCGAATATTCGTCATTTTCATGATGTTACCCCTTTCCAAATTTTCAAAAAATGGGCTTCCAAAAAAGAGTCCAAAAACTGCACTTCTAAGCCCATAACTTTTCTTACAGACACCCGATTTCAAAGTGGCATACTTCAAAATAATCGTGGTTGGATTCCCTAAAAATCTGTGTTTTTAGTTAAATTTTTTTTTTTTGGGTCGATTATTCCTCATTTTTATGATTACCCCTTTCCAAATTTTCAAAAAATGGGTTTGCTGAAAAGGGTCCAAAAACTGCACTTCTACTCTCATAACTTTTCTTACAGACATCCGATTTCAAAGTGGCGTACTTCAAAATGATCGTGGTTTGATTTCCTAAAACTCTGTGTTTTTAGTTAAATTTTTTTTTTTTGGTCGATTATTCGTCATTTTCATGATGTTACCCCTTTCCAAATTTTCAAAAAATGGGTTTGCAGAAAAGGGTCCAAAAACTGCACTTCTACTCTCATAACTTTTCTTACAGACACCCGATTTCAAAGTGGCATACTTCAAAATGATCGTGGTTTGATTCCCTAAAAATCTGTGTTTTTAGTTTAATTTTTTTTTTTGGGTCGATTATTCGTCATTTTTATGATGTTACCCCTTTCCAAATTTTCAAAAAAAGGGTTTGCTCAAAAGGGTCCAAAAACTGCACTTCTAAGCCCATAACTTTTCTTACAGACACCCGATTTCAAAGTGGCGTACTTAAAAATGATCGTGGTTTGATTCCCTAAAAATCTGTGTTTTTAGTTTAATTTTTTTTTTTGGGTCGATTATTCGTCATTTTCATGATGTTACCCCCTTTCCAAATTTTCAAAAAATGGGTTTGCTGAAAAGGGTCCAAAAACTGCACTTCTGCTCTCATAACTTTTCTTACAAACAAAATGATCGTGGTTGAATTCTCGAACAATCTGTGTTTAAATCTTGGTTAATTTTTTGGTCGATTTTTCCTACATTTCTATGGTTAAATTGTCTAAAAATCTGTGTTTACGTATTGATTTAAAATGTTTACAACGCTGTTACAAAATCTGTGTGGCTTTAATACCCTTAAAACTATGGTTTGGCTAAGGTAGCTGCCTTTCTCGTTTTATTTGTAAAAATTAGGCCACAAAAAAAAAAGCTAATCATTTGGACCTGATTTCAGTACTGTCCAATTTTTTTTTCAATTATTAAGAAAGTAGTTTCTGACCTCCATGTTAATGAGTATTGTTAGTTCTTAATTAAGAATTTCAATCTGCTTTTTTTTTCTTCGGGTTATTTTATTAATTATGACCTTTTGGATATTGTATGTGCAATTGTGTTACTTTTAGAGCATTCTATGTATAGCAAATATTGAAGGGGATTCCCCACGTAGCTTGCGGTTTTCTTGATCGATTTTTGCTTACATTTTAGGGGTTCAATTTTGGGATTTACCATTTACCATGAAGGCGTTTCTTTGCCAGCAATTAACATGTTGAACTTTTCCAAAAGAGCCGCTTGCAAAGTACATACAAAAAAAACTCATGTGAAATCAACAATTTAATTTACCTATAAAATGTTTAAGTACATGAACATGAATTTTTTTTGGCCTATTGAATTGTATTCTATTTCTTTTTTTCTGTAAGCAACAATTTTTACGATTTTAATTATGTTACGATTAACTTGCAAAATATTAGGCAATACATGAAAAAAATTAAATTTGTGATGTTACGATTAACTTGCCAAAAACTATAAAATACGTTAAGCAAATAGGTTTGGTACGATTTGATTTGCTCAATAATTTTTTTGGACTAAAAAATAATACAACAAAATACAAGATAATTTCGGAAAATAGAAAAGTAAACATTTTTCCATGTATATTTTTTTGTGTGTAAGTACATAAAAATTGGAACAAAGCGCCAATTCGTTTAGCTTTAGTTTCCATGCCGTTGGTTGTCTTTGTTATGGGCGCGCTTTGTGTTCAGAGGCTGTTAAATTTAAATGGTGAGTCTTAACCTTTAAATTCGGCAAACTGTTTGAATGGGAACCGCTCGACCGAGTGTAATTATACATATTTTCGGGGCACTGTGTTTGCGTTTCGTTATTGGGCAATGCTAGAAATCGCAATCGAAATTGAAATCGAATCTTGGGCAAAAAAGAAATGCCGCACCACATCAATCAATTGGGAAAACAAATGACATCGCCAAACGGTAGCGACAACTTGAAAAAATGCGAATCGAGCAATGTGAACCGATCGTAGATCATCGGGTTATGCAAATCGGGCAATCGATAACACACTCGATGATTCAATTTAGCGGGCTTACATAACAGCCCAAGATTTAATGAGAGGTGGGTGCATAATTAGCCCGGCTCATTAATATTTTTGCTCTACATTGGGCGAAAGTGGCGGCTCAAATTAATCAAAATCAACACAGCGATCCGCAAAAACTGCGGCGCATTTGAAATCGCGATTGCCTTTGTTAAGCATTTTTTTTTTGAGTCGATTTTATATGCAACATTAAATAAATTGATGAAAATGTGCGACATGCTGAGTAGGAGGTTTATACATTAGTACTTTGAATAAATACACTTGGATTTGGGGTACTTACAAGATTATTATTTATCAGCTTTTGTTTATAGCTTTCGAAATAATATAATCGTAATTATAATTTATCCAATACTAACGATCCATAATTGATTTATCAATGGTTAAAGTGGGATATTTTCTTTATGTTAATAAAAAATATAACAAAAACCTTTAAAATATATACCCCTTCATTTTGAGTTCTAGATATATTTAAAACAAATTTTGGGCCTTCAAGAGTATCTCTATTTCGCATTACTTACTTTCTATTTCAAACACTTCCTCTGGGCTGATTAATGTGTTTCGCTTTTTGTCCTAACATTTCGACTACGATTTTGCAGTTACAAACGCTAAACTTGAGTTTACTTTATTTGTGCCTTTGTGTTTCGGCGATATTTGGCGCAATTTGTTGAACAAAACGGTGTGGCAATCGACTAATTCAAACTTAATGATGTCTTCTTTGGCTTTCGCAGGGAAAATAACATCGAATACACGAATATAACGTAATTGCTCGGTGCGTTGGCCCATTGGACATTATTTTGAACGTCGTTTTGAGCGTTTTGAGCATTTTGAGCATTTTTGGCCATTTTCGACACGCACCGCCGGCCATTGCAATCAATCAAATCACGGCTAAGTTCCATTTCCCGAAAGCTAGACCCAAAAAAAAAAAATAGTAAACAGTAGAGACAACAAACAAAATAAACGCAGCTTTTGGAGAGGTGAATGCAAATTGCGCTGTGAGCATAATGATCGGTTTGTGGGGAGTGTTGTAATAATCGCCTCCCCCCATTCCAAAAACCTCGACAGAAAATCAATCAGCCATCAGTTTCGCAGCTGCCGAAAAGTTTGTCCGTCGGGGATCGTATTTTTGAGGATTGAGGATGAGCCAACCTTTTTGGGTAAACAACCATCATCGGGGTTTTGTTTGCACTGCCAGCTGTCAGCCATCAAATTGGATGGTGTGTTTTTTCGGATCTGGGAGTTCAGGATTTCGAATCTCCACTCGAGAGACGCCGAGTGTTGTTTTAATGTTTCCCCCACTTTCGACGTGGTGGCATCGAGTGCGCTTCACTCTGATTACAATGTTTCAAAAGAGCCCAAAATACATCATTATTAGGGGGGGCTTATCAGTGGGGCTAGATTATTTAGTAATCAAAATTGACCGCGGTGATTTCTTTAATAGCTGGTTAAAAATCGAAGATCATACGATCATTATTTTTTAGTTTTTTTCTCCC